ATTCTGTTCCATTCCCCCCCATTCTCCTTCATTCTTTTCCATTCTCCCCCATTCCCTCTCCATTCCATTCCATTCACCCCCATCCACTTCTATTCCCCCCATTCCCCCTCCATTCCCCCTCCATTCCCCCTCCATTCCCCCCCCCTTCCCCCCCATTCTCTTCTGTTCCCCCCGATTTCCACCCATTCCCCCCTATTCCCACTCCATTCCCCCTCCATTCACCCCCAGTTCCTTCCATTCCCCTCCATTCCCCTCAATTCCATTCCATTCCCCCTCTATTCCTCCCCATTCCCTTCCATTCCCCCCCCATTGCATTCCATTCCCCCCTCTTCCCCCCCCGGTCCCTTCCATTCCTCCCCCCATTCCCTTCCATTCCCCTCCATTCCCCCTCTATTCCCCCCCATTCCCCCTCTATTCCCCCCCATTCCCTTCCATTCCCTCCATTGCATTCCATTCCCCCCTATTCCCCCCCATTCCCATTCCCCCCCCATTCCCATTCCCCCTTATTCCCCGTCATTCCCACCCCCCCCCCCCCATTCCCCCTCTTCCCCCCCATTCCCAGTCCATTCCCCCCACTCGGCCTTTGGGGTGTTCCATTGAGGGGCTGTTTGTAAACAGCCATCTCGACGTGTGGGGATTGGGAATGGGATCCAGTGGGATTCAGTGAGATCCAGTGGAATGCAATGGGATGCAATGGAATCCAGTGGGATTCAATGGGATGCAATGGGATCCAGTGGGATGCAATGGGATTCAATGGGATGCAATGGGATCCAGTGGGATTCAATGGGATGCAATGGGATCCAGTGGGATTCAATGGGATGAAATGAGATCCAGTGGGATTCAATGGGATGCAATGGGATTCAATGGGATCCAGTGGGATTCAATGGGATCAAACTGGCTCCGGTTCCCCCCCCCACCAGCACCAGGCCTAGTAACGGAGGCAGTGCGGCCCATTGGTGCCTAATGGGGCTGGATGGTGCCTATGGGGCTGGATGGTGCCCGTGGTGTGGGGCTATAGGGGCCTATGGGGCCTATAGGGGTGGAGGTACCCCATGGTGTGGGGCTGTCGGGCCCTATGGGTCCCAGTGGGGTTGTTGTACCCCATGGTGTGGGGCTATAGGGCCCTATGGGTTCCAGTGGGGTTGTTGTACCCCATGGTGTGGGGCTATAGTAGCCTATGGGGCCTATAGGGGCTGTTGTACCCCATGGTGTGAGGCTGTAGGAACCTATAGGGGCTGTTGTGCCCCATGTTTAGGGGCTATAGGGGCCTATGAGGGCTGTTGTACCCCATGGTGTGGGGCTGTAGGGGCTGATGGAGCCCATATTGGTTGTTGTACCCCATGGTGTGGGGCTATAGAGGACTGGGGGGGGGGGTGGGGGGTGTTGTGCCCCATAGTACAGGACAATAGGGGCAGCTGGGGGCTATTGTACCCCATGGTGTGGGGCAATAGAGCCTATGGGGGGGTGGTGTGCCCCATGGTGTGGGGCAATAGAGGCCTATGGGGGGGGGTGTTGTGCCCTGTGGTACAGGACAATAGGGACAGTTGGGGGGCTATTGTACCCCATGGTGTGGGGCAGTAGAGGCCTATGGGGGGGTGTGTGCCCCATGGTGTGGGGCAATAGAGGCCTATCGGGGGGGAGGTTGTGCCCCGTGGTGTGGGGCAATAGGGGCTGATGGAGCCCATATTGGTTGTTGTGCCCCATGGTGTGGGCCTATAGGAGTCTATGTGTGTTGTGCTCCATGTTGTGGGGCAATAGAGGCCTATGGGAGAGGGATTGTGCCCCATGGTTTGGGGCAATAGGGGCAGTTTGGAGCCCTGTGGGGGTGCTGTACCCTATAGAGAAGCAGCTGGGGGGCTGATGGAGCCCCTTTTGGTTGTTGTACCCTATAATGTGGGGCAATAGGGGCATTTGGGGGCTGATGGGGCCCATGGTGGGCCAGTAGAGGCCTATGGGGCCCATATTGGATGTTGTACCCCATGGTGTGGGGCAATAGGGGCAGATTGGAGCCCCATGGGGGTGTAGTACCCCATAGAGAAGCAGTTGGGGGGCTGATGGGGCCCATGGTGTGAGGTAGTAGAGGCCTATGGGGCCCATCTTGGATATTGTGCCCCATGGTGTGGGGCAATAGGGGCAGTTTGGAGCCCCATGGGGGTGTAGTACCCCATAGAGAAGCAGTTGGGGGGCTGATGGGGCCCATGGTGTGGGGCAGTAGAGGCCTATGGGGCCCATCTTGGATGTTGTACCCCATGGTGTGGGGCAGTAGGGGCAGTTTGGAGCCCCATGGGGGTGTTGTACCCCGTAAAGAAGCAGTTGGGGGGCTGATGGGGCCCATGGTGTGGGGTAGTAGAGGCCTATGGGGCCCATATTGGATGTTGTACCCCATGGTGTGGGTCAATAGGGGCAGTTTGGAGCTCCATGGGGGTGTTGTACCCCATAGAGAAGCAGTTGGGGGGGCTGATGGAGCCCCATATTGGTTGCTGTACCCCACAGTGTGGGGGCTGATGAGGCCCATATCATTTCTTGCGCCCCATGGAGTCACTTGGGGGGCTGACAGGGTTGCTGTACCCCTTGGGGTGGGGCAGTGGGTGCTGTTGGGTGCCCGACGGGCGCTGCGGTGGTTGTTTCACCCCATGGTGCGGCTGTTGGGTGCCGATGGTACCGAAGTGTCACTGTTACCCCCCTCAAACCCTCTTTAGAATGGTCCCACAGCGTTTGATAGCGTTTGATAGCGTTTGGTAGCCTCTGATTGTCACTTTTGGGTGTATTTGGCGCTGTTTGGACCCAAAATTGCCTGTTTCTGGGCCAAATTCCAGGGGTTTTATGCTTTTGGATGGGATTTGGAGGGGGTTTTCCCTGCTTTGGCCCACAGTGACCGGTTGGCATCAAGAATCGATGCTCAAGTGGATTCGTTCACTCTAAAACACCCAAAAATGGGGAAATGGGGGCTTTAGACCCACTTTTTCCCCCTTAAAATGCACAGAAATGGGTAAATTTGGGTTTCAACCCCCTCCTTTTCCTCTTAAACCCTCAGAAGTGGGTAAATTTGGGCTTCAGATGCCTCTTTCCCCCCAAAAAAACGCTCAGAAATGGGTGAATTGGCGTTTGAAACCCTCTTTTCCATCCCAAAACCGCTCAGAAATGGGTACATTTGGGTTTCAAACCCCTCCTTTTCCACTTAAACCCTCAGAAATGGGTACATTTGGGTTTCAGACGCCTCTTTTCCACCCCAAAACCGCTCAGAAATGGGTGAATTTGGGTTTGAAGCCCCCCTTTTTCTTCCTAAACTGCTCAGAAATGGTTGATTTGGGGTTTTGATCCCTTATTCCCCCCCAAAACTGCTCAGAAACGGGTGAATTTGGGTTTCAAACCCCCCTTTTCCTTCCTAAACCGCTCAGAAATGGTTGATTTTGGGTTTCGACCCATTATTCCCCCGCAAAACCACTTGGAAACGGGTAAATTTGGGTTTCAAACCCCTCCTTTTCCCCTTAAACCCTCAGGAATGGGTAAATTTGGGTTTCAGATGCCTCTTTTCCACCCCGAAACTGCTCAGAAATGGTTGATTTTGGGTTTTGATCCCTTATTCCCCCCCAAAACTGCTCAGAAACGGGTAAATTTGGGTTTCAAACCCCTCCTTTTCCCCTTAAACCCTCAGAAATGGGTCCATTTGGGTTTCAGATGCCTCTTTTCCACCCCAAAACCGCTCAGAAAAGGGTGAATTTGGGTTTGAACCCCCCTTTTCCCTCCTAAACCGCTCAGAAATGGTTAAGTTTGGGTTGGAAACCCCTCTTTTCTCCCCAGAACTGCTCAGAAACGGGTGAATTTGGGTTTCAAACCCCTTCCCCCCCCCCCCCCCCCCCAACCCACTTGGAAACGGGGAAATCCCTGTTGGAGGCCCGCTTCCGTGGCCTTTTGGGGTTGTTTCTTGGCTGTTTTCTCCCTCTTTCTCAGCCCCAAAATCCCTCTTTTTCACCCCAAACTCCCTTCTCCTCCTCATCCCGGCCCTTTTTGAGGGTGTTCTCCCACTAGAGCATCCTTATCCCACACTTTATGCAGCGGGAGCTGGGCCTCGCTCCATCCCCTCCGGCCACTGAGTTCCAGGCTTGGATTGGAGGTGCACACCACTTCTCCCTCCTTCCCAGCGCCAGGAATGTCCCCTCCTCCTCCTCCTCCTCCCTCCTCCTCCACAGCTGAAACTTGTTCTTTTTTAGTGCCTTTTTCCCCCTTTTCCCCCTCTTTTTTCGCATCCCGTTTCCAACTGAGAACAATGGAATGGGATGGGGGGGGACACGACACCCATCCACCACCCCAATCCCACACCAGAACCCCTTCAAACCAGCCCCAAAGTTGCTTTTCCCTCCCCTGTAGTGCAAACAAAGCTGGAACCCCCCCCCAAAAGAGCCTGAGGAAGGATTTTCCATGGTGTTTCCCCACTTCCAGGCCGGATTTTCTCCCCTTTCCCCCCCTTTTTTCCAGCCACCTCCCCTCGTCCTTTGTTCCAACTCCTCATTTCCTCCTTTTACACAATCACTCCGCCTCACTCCGAACCCTCCCCCCCCTTATCCCTGTTTTATCCCCATTTCCATGCATTTTCTCCCTGTTTTCCAACCGGGGGGGGGGGCGGTTCGGTTGTTGCTTTGTTACAGGCGGAGGACGGGTGTTCTCCGTCACCCCCCCCCCCCCCCCCCCTTTGCTCCGGTTGTCTACGTGGTTTCTCCTTCCTCCCTCTCGAGGTGTGGGGAGCATCACGTGCATGGAATATTCTCGGGAATGCTTTGCCAACAGCGCATGTCTATGGGAAAGGGGGGGGGGGAAGGGGGGGTGCGTGTGTGTGTGTGTGTTGGGGGGCAACACCCCCACAATGGCAGGCTTGGGCCCGGTGATCGGTTGTACGCCCCAAGGGGATGGCGGTAACGGGATGAAGGGTGGGTTTGGGGGTGTTGAACGCCCCCGTTGTTGGTGTGTGGGTGTGTGTGTGTGTGGGGGTGTTGTTATCCGGGTGTTGTGGTGGGATCTGGGTGGTCTCAGCGCCGCCGCCTGGCCCCATCCCTTGCCAACAGCGCTCTGGCAGCTGCCTGACAGCCGGTGCCAAGGGATTAAGGCTGGAATGTGACCCCGGCGGCGCCGGGTGTTGTTTCCTCTCCCGACGCCAAGCTTGGCACCCGGCGTCACCCTCAATGTGTCCCCCCCCCGTCGTCCCCCCCCCCTTTTCCTCGGGGACAGCCGGGGCTTCCCTGTGACCTGTCAGCGAGCGCCGGCTGTGATGGATGGGGGCGTGCGGGTGACGTCGGGGTGGCCACGCGCCAACAGCCGCAGGGCAGACGGGACACCCGGTAACGGTGCCAAGGCCGTGACACGGATGGAGGTAGCAATGGCGGGGGGGTGTGGGTCACCGTCACCAACCACCACCCCCCGCCGGGGGTTGTCCGTCACGGGGATGCCAATGGAAGGAGGCCAAAGGGGTTGGGAAATCCGCTGCTGGCTGTTGGTCAGCGGCACGGTGACACAGTGACACCGGTGTCACCCCCTGCTGTGAGGGGATGGAGAAGCCTCTGCTGGCTGTTGGTCACTGACACAGTGACACCGGTGTCACCCGGAATGGGTTGATGGGGATTGCTCTGCTGCTCTTGGTCACTGACACAGTGACACTGGCGTCACCCGGAATGGGTGGATAGGGAATGCTCTGCTGGCTGTTGGTCACTGACACAGTGACACCGGTGTCACCCGGAATGGGTGGATGGGGAACGCTCTGCTGGTTGTTGGTCACTGACACAGTGACACTGGCGTCACCCGGAATGGGTGGATGGGGAATGCTCTGCTGGCTGTTGGTCACTGACACAGTGACACTGGTGTCACTCAGAATGAGTTGATGGGGAGTTCTCTGCTGGCTGTTGGTTGACACAGTGACACAGTGACACTGGTGTCACTCAGAATGAGTTGATGGGGAGTTCTCTGCTGGCTGTTGGTTGACACAGTGACACAGGTGTCGCTCGGAATGGGTGGATGGGGAACGCTCTGCTGGCTGTTGGTTCCTGTGACGGTGACACCGGTGTCACCTGGAATGGGTGGATGGGGAACGCTCTGCTGGCTGTTGGTTCCTGTGACGGTGACACCGGTGTCACCATCCTGGTGCCTTCGAAGGGATCTCATTGTGTCCCTGTCCGTCCGTGTCCCCCCCCCCCCACCGTGTGTCACCTTTGGTGGCCATGGGGAGGGCCTCATGTCCCCATGTCCCCCCAGAAGGTGCTGAGGAGCTGTTGAGGGGCCTCGAGGGTGCTCTTGGGGTGAAGAAGAAGAAACGGGGCCCCCGGAAGCAGAAGGAAAACAAACCTGGAAAACCACGGAAAAGGAAAAAGCTGGTGAGGAACCAGTGGGTGGTGGGAGAGGGGATGGGAGAGATGGGAGATGGGATGGGTGAGATGGGGTGGGTGAGATGGGAGATGGGATGGGTGAGATGGGAGATGGGATGGGTGAGATGGGAGATGGGATGGGTGAGATGGGAGATGGGATGGGAGGGATGGGAGATGGGATGGGTGAAATGGGAGATGGGATGGGAGATGTGGGAGATGGGATGGGTAAGATGGGAGATGGGATAGGAGAGATGGGAGATGGGATGGGAGAGATGGGAGATGGGATGGGAGAGATGGGAGATGGGATGGGAGAGATGGGAGATGGGATGGGAGATGTGAGAGATGGGATGGGTGAGATGGGAGATGGGATGGGAGAGATGGGAGATGGGATGGGAGAGATGGGAGATGGGATGGGAGATGTGAGAGATGGGATGGGTGAGATGGGAGATGGGATGGGAGATGTGGGAGATGGGATGGGTGAGATGGGAGATGGGATGGGAGGGATGGGTGGTGGGACATGGGATGGGTGGTGGGACGTGGGATGGGTGATATGGGTTGGGTGATGGGACATGGGATGGGTGGTGGGACATGGGATGGGTGATATGGGATGAGTGATGGGGGTCCTGGTGTAGTTGATGATGTTCTTAGGATGTCTAGTGGGGGTCGTGGGATGGCCAGTGGTGGTTTTGGGAGTGAACAATAGGAGTCTTGGGTTGGCCAGTGGGGGTCTTGGGATGGCCAATAGTGGTCCTGGGATGGCCAATGGTGGTCTTGAGGTGTCCAATGGTGGTCTTGGGATGACCAGTAGGGGTCTTGGGATGACCAATAGGAGTCTTGAGATGGCCAATGGTGGTCTTGGGATGGCCAGTGGTGGTGTTGGGATGGCCAGTGGTGGTCTTGGGATGGCCAATGGTGGTCTTGGGATGACCAGTGGGGTTGTTGGGATGTCCAGTGGTGGTGTTGGGATGGCCAGTGGTGGTCTTGGGATGGCCAATGGTGGTCTTGGGATGACCAGTGGGGTTGTTGGGATGTCCAGTGGTGGTGTTGGGATGGCCAATGGTGGTGTTGGGATGGCCAGCGGTGGTGTTGGGATGTCCAGTGGTGGTGTTGGGATGGCCAGTAGTGGTGTTGGGATGGCCAGTGGTGGTGTTGGGATGGCCAGCGGTGGTGTTGGGATGGCCAGCGGTGGTGTTGGGATGGCCAATGGTGGTGTTGGGATGGCCAGTGGTGGTGTTGGGATGGCCAATGGTGGTGTTGGGATGGCCAATGGTGATGTTGGGATGGCCAATGGTGGTGTTGGGATGGCCAATGGTGGTGTTGGGATGGCCAGTGGTGGTGTTGGGATGGCCAATGGTGGTGTTGGGATGGCCAATGGTGATGTTGGGATGGCCAGTGGGGGTGTTGGGATGGCCAATGGTGGTGTTGGGATGGCCAATGGTGGTGTTGGGATGGCCAGCGGTGGTGTTGGGATGGCCAATGGTGGTGTTGGGATGGCCAGTGGTGATGTTGGGATGGCCAATAGTGGTGTTGGGATGGCCAATGGTGGTGTTGGGATGGCCAGCGGTGGTGTTGGGATGTCCAGCGGTGGTGTTGGGATGCCCAGCGGTGGTGTTGGGATGGCCAATGGGGGTGTTGGGATGTCCAGCGGTGGTGTTGGGATGTCCAGCGGTGGTGTTGGGATGCCCAGCGGTGGTGTTGGCATGCCCAGCGGTGGTGTTGGGATGTCCAGCGGTGGTGTTGGGATGCCCAGCGGTGGTGTTGGGATGTCCAGCGGTGGTGTTGGGATGGCCAATGGGGGTGTTGGGATGCCCAGCGGTGGTGTTGGGATGTCCAGTGGTGGTCTCGGGGTGGCTGATGGAGCCCCGTGACGTTGTCAACACCCGCAGCGACGGGTGACAGCCCCTCTGGGTGGTGACAGCGCCGTGGCGGGCCCTGTCCTGTGCGCAGGTGAGCGAGGATGAGCTGGAGTCGGAGCGGGAGGAATTCCAGCGGGAGGAATACCGGGAGAAGTCGGAGAGCGGCGGGAGCGAGTCGGGGGGGGGCACCCGGAAGCGGCGCCGGAAGCACCGCGACAAGAAGGACAAGAAGACCAAGAGGAGGAAAAAGGCTGATGAGGAGGGGGGGCAGAAGGTCAAGGTATGGCCTATGGGGGGCACCATCACTGTGTGTGGGTCCCATTGCCATTGGGGTGGCTACGGGAGTCCCATTGCCATAGGGGTGATGTTGGGGGTCTCATTGCCTTAGGGGTCCCATTGCCATAGGGGTGATGTTGGGGGTCTCATTGCCTTAGGGGTGATGTTGGGGGTCCCATTGCCATAAGGGTGGCTATGGGAGTCCCATTGCCATAGGGGTGCCATTGCCATCGGGGTGACTGTGGGGGTCCCATTGCCTTAGGGGTGACTCTGGGAGGGCCATTGCCACAGGGGTGTTTGCCATAAGGGTGGCTGTGGGGATCCCATTGCTGTGTGGGGGTCCCATTGCCATGGGGGTTCTGATGCCATAGGGGTGACTTTGGGGGTCCCATTGCCATGAAGATGCCATTGCCATAGAGGTCCCATTGCCATAGGGATGACCATGGGGTGCCATTTTTGTAGGGGTGACTCTGGACATCCTATTGCCCTAGGTGTTATTAGGGGGGTCCCATTGCCATGGGGGTGCCATTGCAATAGGGGTGATTGTGGGAGTCCCATTGCCGTAGGGGTAACCATGGGGTGCCATTGCTATGGGGTGACTGTGGGAGTCCCATTGCCATGGGGGTTCCATTGCCATAGGGGTGACTGTGGGAGTCCCATTGCCATAGGGGTGACCATGGGGTGCCATTGCTATGGGGTGACTGTGGGAGTCCCATTGCCATAGGGGTCCCTGTGGGGGTCCCATTGCCATGGGGGTTCCATTGACATAGGGGTGATTGTGGGAGTCCCATTGCCATAGGGGTGACCATGGGGTGCCATTGCTATAGGGGTGACTGGGGGGGTCCTGTTGCCATAGGGATGACCATGGGGTGCCATGGCTGTCAGGGTGATTATGGGGGTCCCATTGCTATTGGGGTCCCATTGCCATAGGGATGACCATGGGGGTGCCATAGCTGTCAGGGTGATTATGGGTGTCCCATTGCCATAGGGGAGACTGGGAGAGTGCCTCTGCCATAGGGGTGACCATGGGGGTGCCATCATTCATGTGGGTGCCCAAGGGGGTGCTGTCCTCCCTGTGGGTCCATGTGGGTCCCCCGTCTCCCCCCCCATGTCCCCATTGACCCCAATGTCCCCCTGATGCAGGCGGTGGAGCAGAAGTCCTCAGCTCAGCTGCTGGGGGCCTGGGGGCTGGAGGACGTGGACCACGTCTTCACGGAGGAGGACTATCACACCCTCACCAACTACAAGGCCTTCAGCCAGTTCATGAGGTGGGTGGGGGGGGCCCTTTGGGTATTGGGGGGCACCTATGGGTCCTTGGGCTCCAGCCGGCCCATCTTTGGGGTGCTTTTGTGGGGTCCGTTGAAGCACCTTGGTCCAAAAGAGCTCGTTGAGGAGCATCAGCATCCCGTGGTACCCAAACCCCTCAGTGCCCTGCATCCCTTTTGGTCCTTAAGCATCTCTCTGGGTGCTTATGGGGGTCCTTTTAGGTGTTACCAGGGTGCTGGGGATCCCATCAGTGTGTTTTTGGGGGGGGGCATCTCTGTTTTGGGCTCCTGGTGGCCTATTTGGGGTGCTCTTGTGGGGTCCATTGAAGCACCTTGGTCCAAAGGAGCTCATTGAGGAGCGTCAGCATCCCGTGGTACCCAAACCCCTCAGTGCCCTGCATCCCTTTTGGTCCTTAAGCATCTCTCTGGGTGCTTATGGGGGTCCTTTTAGGTGTTACCAGGGTGCTGGGGATCGCCTCAACATGTCTGGGGGAGCCCCAGTTCTGTTTTGGGGTCCTGGTGGCCCATTTGGGGTGCTTTTGTGGGGTCCATTGAAGCACCTTGGTCCAAAGGAGCTCATTGAGGAGCATCAGCATCCCATGGTACCCAAACCCCTCAGTGCCCTGCATCCCTTTTGGTCCTTAAGCATCTCTCTGGGTGCTTATGGGGGTCCTTTTAGGTGTTACCAGGGTGCTGGGGATCCCATCAGTGTGTTTTGGGCGGGTCCATCTCTGTTTTGGGGTCCTGGTGGCCCATTTGGGGTGCTCTTGTGGGGTCCATTGATGCACCTTGGTCCAAAGGAGCTCATTGAGGAGCATCAGCATCCGGTGGTACCCAAACCCCTCAGTGCCCTGCATCCCTTTTGGTCCTTAAGCATCTCTCTGGGTGCTTATGGGGGTCCTTTTAGGTGTTACCAGGGTGCTGGGGATCCCCTCTATGTGTCTGGGGGAGCCCCAGTTCTGCTTTGGGCTCCTGGTGGCCCATTTGGGGTGCTTTTGTGGGGTCCATTGAAGCACCTTGGTCCAAAGTAGCTTGTTGAGGAGCATCAGCATCCCATGGTACCCAAACCCCTCAGTGCCCTGCATCCCTTTTGGTCCTTAAGCATCGCTCTGGGTGCTTATAGGGGTCCTTTTAGGTGTTACCAGGGTGCTGGGGATCCCATCAGTGTGTTTTGGGGGGGGGGGCATCTCTGTTTTGGGCTCCTGGTGGCCTATTTGGGGTGCTCTTGTGGGGTCCATTGATGCACCTTGGTCCAAAGGAGCTCATTGAGGAGCGTCAGCATCCGGTGGTACCCAAACCCCTCAGTGCCCTGCATCCCTTTTGGTCCTTAAGCATCTCTCTGGGTGCTTATGGGGGTCCTTTTAGGTGTTACCAGGGTGCTGGGGATCGCCTCAACATGTCTGGGGGAGCCCCAGTTCTGTTTTGGGGTCCTGGTGGCCCATTTGGGGTACTCTTGTGGGGTACATTGAAGCCCCTTGGTCCGAAAGAGCTCATTGAGGAGCATCAGCATCCCGTGGTACCCAAACCCCTCAGTGCCCTGCATCCCTTTTGGTCCTTAAGCATCTCTCTGGGTGCTTATGGGGGTCATTTTTGGTCATTGCTATGGGGCAAGGATGTCAGCGAGGAGCATCAGCACCCTGTGGTACCCAAACCCCTCAGTGCCCTGCATCCCTTTTGGTCCTTGAGCATCTCTCTGGGTACTTATGGGGCTCCTTTTAGGTCATTGCTGTAGGGCACGGATGTCAGTGAGGAGCATCAGCATCCCATGGTACCCAAACCCCTCAGTGCCCTGCATCCCTTTTGGTCCTTAAGCATCTCTCTGGGTGCTTATAGGGGTCCTTTTAGGTCATTGCTGTAGGGCACGGATGTCAGTGAGGAGCATCAGCACCCCGTGGTACCCAAACCCCTCAGTGCCCTGCATCCCTTTTGGTCCTCAAGCATCTCTCTGGGTGCTTATGGAGGTCATTTTTGGTCATTGCTATGGGGCAAGGATGTCAGCGAGGAGCATCAGCATCCCATGGTACCCAAACCCCTCAGTGCCCTGCATCCCTTTTGGTCCTTAAGCATCTCTCTGGGTACTTATGGGGCTCCTTTTAGGTCATTGCTGTAGGGCACAGATGTCAGTGAGGAGCATCAGCATCCCATGGTACCCAAACCCCTCAGTGCCCTGCATCCCTTTTGGTCCTTAAGCATCTCTCTGGGTGCTTATAGGGGTCCTTTTAGGTCATTGCTGTAGGGCACGGATGTCAGTGAGGAGCATCAGCACCCCGTGGTACCCAAACCCCCTCAGTGCAGCGCATCCCTTTGGGTGCCCCCCCCCCCCAGCCTCTTTCCCTTGCCCCCCGCAGGCCGCTGATCGCCAAGAAGAACCCCAAGATCCCCATGTCCAAGATGATGACCATCCTGGGGGCCAAGTGGAGGGAGTTCAGCGCCAACAACCCCTTCAAGGGCTCCGCTGCCGCCGTGGCCGCTGCAGCCGCCGCCGCCGCCGCCGCCGTGGCCGAGCAGGTCTCTGCGGCCGTGGCCAGCGTGGCCCCCGAGGCCCCCGCGCCCCCCCTGCGCAAGGCCAAGACCAAGGAGGGCAAAGGTGGGTGGGGGGGGATGGCCCCGGGGTGAGGGGGGCGGCCCCATAGTGAAGTGGGGCAGTCCCATAGTGAAGGGGGGCAGCACCATAGTGAAGGGGGCAGCACCATAGTGAAGGGGGGCAGTCCCATAGTGAAGGGAGGCAGCCCCATAGTGAAGGGGGGCAGTCCCATAGTGAAGGGGGGCAGCACCGTAGTGAAGGGGGGCAGCACCGTAGTGAAGGGGGGGCGGCCCCATAGTGAAGGGGGCAGCCCCATAGTGAAGGGGGGCAGCCCCATAGTGAAGGGGGGCAGCCCCATAGTGAAGGGGGGCAGCACCATAGTGAATGGGGGCAGCACCATAGTGAAGGGGGCAGACCCATAGTGAAGGGGTGCAGCACCATAGTGAAGGGGGCAGCACCATAGTGAAGGGGTGCAGCACCATAGTGAAGGGGGGCAGTCCCATAGTGAAGGGGGGCAGCACCATAGTGAAGGGGGGCAGCACCATAGTGAATGGGGGCAGCACCATAGTGAAGGGGGCAGACCCATAGTGAAGGGGTGCAGCACCATAGTGAAGGGGGGCAGTCCCATAGTGAAGGGGGGCAGCACCATAGTGAAGGGGGGCAGCACCATAGTGAATGGGGGCAGCACCATAGTGAAGGGGGCAGACCCATAGTGAAGGGGTGCAGCACCATAGTGAAGGGGGGCAGTCCCATAGTGAAGGGGGGCAGCACCATAGTGAAGGGGGGCAGCCCCATAGTGAATGGGGGCAGTCCCATAGTGAAGGGGGGCAGCACCATGGTGAAGGGGGGCAGCCCCAGAGTGAAGGGGGCAGCCCCAGATTGAAGGGGGCAGCCCCATAGTGAAGGGGGACAACCCCGTAGTGAATGGAGGCACCCTTAGTGAATGCAGGGACCTATAGTGAATGGGGGCAGCCCCATGGTGAATGGGGGCACCCTTAGTGAATGGGGACAACCCCATAGTGAATGGGGGCACCCTTAGTGAATGGAGACAACCCCACAGTGAATAGGGGCACCCATAGTGAATGGAGGGACCTGTAGTGAATGGGGGCACCCCTGTAGTAAATGGGGGCAGCCATAGGGAATGGGGGCACCCCTGTAGTGAAGGGGACCCCCATAGGGAATGGGGCAGCCCCATAGTGAATGGGGCCACCCATAGTGAATGGGGACCCCCGCTGTGAAGGGGACAACCCTGTATTGAAGGGGGACACCCCCATAGTGAATGGGCCCCCCCCCATAGTGAATGGGCCCCCCCCCAGGGGGTGATTGGGGGTGTGTAGGGGGAGTTTAGGGGTGTCAGGGAGGGTTTGGGGGAGACTCTAAGGGAGCCTGAGGGGGGTGCAGGGGTCCCTGTGTCCCCATAGGGTGCAGTGGGGAGGTCCCTATGGGGAGCAATGGGGGTCACAATGGGGTCCCTATAGGGTACAATGGAGGTCTCAATGGGGTCCCTATGGTGTACAGTGGGGGGTCCCTATGGTGTACAATGGGGTCCCAGTGGGGTACAATGGGAGTCCCTATGGGGTACAATGAGGGGGTCCCTATGGGATGCATTGGGAGTCCCAATGGGGTCCCTATGGGGTACAATGGGGTCTCAGTGGGGTACAATGGGTTCCCAATGGGGGTACAATGAGGGGGTCCCTATGGGATGCATTGGGAGTCCCAATGGGGTACAGTGGGGGGTCCCTATGGGGTACAATGAGGGGGTCCCTATGGGATGCATTGAGAGTCCCAATGGGGACCCTATGGGGTACAGTGGGGTCCCAGTGTGGTCCCAATGGGGTACAATGGGGGGTCCCTATGTGGTGCAATGAGGGGGCCCTATGGGGTCGCAATGGGGTACAACGGGGGGTCCCTGTGGGGTACAGTGGGGTCCCAGTGGGGTACAATGGGGGGTCCCTATGGGGTACAGTGGGGTCCCAATGGGGGGTCCCTATGGGGTACAATGCGGGGGTCCCTATGGCGTACAATGGGGTCCCAATGGGGTACAATGGGGGGTCCCTATGGGGTACAGTGGGGTCCCAATGGGGGGTCCCTATGGGGTACAATGCGGGGGTCCCTATGGCGTACAATGGGGTCCCAATGGGGTACAGTGGGGTCCCAATGGGGGGTCCCTATGGGGTACGATGAGGGGGTCCCTATGGGGTACAATGGGGTCCCAGTGTGGTCCCAATGGGGTACAATAGGGGTCCCTATGGGGTCCAATGGGGGGTCCCTATTGGGTCCAATGGGGTTCCAATGGGGTACAGTGGGGGTCCCTATGGGGTACAATGAGGGGGTCCCTATGGGATGCATTGGGAGTCCCAATGGGGTCCCAGTGGGGTACAATGGGGTCCCAATGGGGTGCAATGGGGTCCCTATGGGGTACAACGGGGTCCCAATGGGGTACCGTGGGGGGTCCCTATGGGCTACAATGGGGTCCCTGTGGGGTACAATGGGGTCCCAATGGGGTACAATAGGGTCCCAATGTGGTCCCTATGGGGTCCAATGGGGGGTCCCTATGGAGTACAGTGGGGTCCCAATGGGGTACAATGGGGGGTCCCTATGGGCTACAGTGGGGTCCCTATGGGGTACAGTGGGGTCCCAAAGGGGTACAATAGGGTCCCAGTGTGGTGCCTATGGGGTCCAATGGGGGGTCCCTATGGGTTTCAATGGGGCGTCCCAGTGGGGTACAAGGGGGTCCCTAAGGGGTACAATGGGGATTCCCAATGGGGTACAATGGGGTCCCAGTGTGTTACAATGGGGTCCCAATGTGGTCCCTATGGGGTCCAATGGGGTTTCCCTATGGGGTACAATGGGGGGTCCATATGGGTCCCAAAGGGTTCCCTGTGGGGTACAGTGGGGGTTCCCTATGGGGTACAGTGTGGTCCCTATGGGGTCCCAGTGGGGTACAATGGGGGGTCCCTATGGGGTACAGTGTGGTCCCTATGGGTCCCAGTGTGGTCCCTATGGGGTACAACGGGGTCCCTATGGGTCCCAATGTGGTCCCTATGGGGTACAGTGTGGTTTCTATGGGTCCCAGTGTGGTCCCTATGGGGTACAATGGGGTCCCTGTGGGTCCCAATGTGGTCCCTATGGGGTACAGTGTGGTTTCTATGGGTCCCAGTGTGGTCCCTATGGGATACAACGGGGTCCCTATGGGTCCCAGTGTGGTCCCTATGGGGTACAACGGGGTCCCTATGGGGTACAACGGGGCCCCTATGGGTCCCAGTGTGGTCCCTATGGGGTACAGTGTGGTCCCTATAGGGTACAATGGGGCCCCTATGGGTCCCAATGTGGTCCCTATGGGTCCCAGTGTGGTCCCTATGGGATACAACAGGGTCCCTATGGGGTACAACGGGGTCCCTATGGGTCCCAGTGTGGTCCCTATGGGGTACAACGGGGTCCCTATGGGTCCCAGTGTGGTCCCTATGGGTCCCAGTGTGGTCCCTATGGGGTACAGTGGGGTCCCTATGGGTCCCAGTGTGGTCCCTATGGGGTACAGTGGGGTCCCTATGGGTCCCAGTGTGGTCCCTATGGGGTACAACGGGGTCCCTATGGGTCACAGTGTGGTCCCTATGGGGTACAGCGGGGTCCCTATGGGTCCCAATGTGGTCCCTATGGGATACAACGGGGTCCCTATGGGTCCCAGTGTGGTCCCGATTGGGTACTACGGGGTCCCTATGGGTCCCAATGTGGTCCCTATGGGATACAACGGGGTCCCTATGGGTCCCAGTGTGGTCCCTATGGGGTACAACGGGGTCCCTATGGGGTACAGTGTGGTCCCTATAGGGTACAACGGGGCCCCTATGGGTCCCAATATGGTCCCTATGGGGTACAACGGGGTCCCTATGGGGTACAGTGTGGTCCCTATAGGGTACAACGGGGTCCCTATGGGTCCCAGTGTGGTCCCTATGGGGTACAACGGGGCCCCTATGGGTCCCAGTGTGGTCCCTATGGGTCCCAGTGTGGTCCCTATGGGGTACAGTGTGGTCCCTATAGGGTACAACGGGGTCCCTATGGGTCCCAGTGTGGTCCCTATGGGGTACAGTGTGGTTTCTATGGGTCCCAGTGTGGTCCCTATGGGGCACAATGGGGCCCCTATGGGTCCCAATGTGGTCCCTATGGGATACAACGGGGTCCCTATGGGTCTCAATGTGGTCCCTATGGGGTACAACGGGGCCCCTATGGGTCCCAGTGTGGTCCCTATGGGTCCCAGTGTGGTCCCTATGGGGTACAACGGGGTCCCTATGGGTCCCAGTGTGGTCCCTATGGGGTACAACGGGGTCCCTATGGGTCCCAGTGTGGTCCCTATGGGGTACAACGGGGTCCCCCCGTGTCCCCGCAGGCCCCGGGCACAAGAAGCGCAGCCGCAGCCCGCGGGTGCCGGAGCTGAAGCGGAAGCTCAAGGGCCGGAAGATGGCACCGCTCAAGATCAAACTGGGGGTGCTGGGGGGCAAGCGCAAGAAGAGCAGCTCGGTACGGACCCCCCCATAGCGCCCCATAGCGCCCCATAGCCCCTCCTTCCCCCTGTGTGGTCCCAAGCGGTGGTACCCACCCCCTGGCCCCATCAACCTGCTCTCTTTGTCCCCCCTCCATCCTCATTCCCCATGCTCCAACCCCCATTTCCCCCTCTTGTTCCCCCCCCATATCCCCCCCTGCCCCCCCATATCCCCACATGTCCTCATATCCCCCTATATCCCCTTATATGCCCCTTATGTCCCCCATATCCCCTTAAACCCCCTATGTCCCCATATCCCCCTTGTCTTCCATATCCCCCTATATCCCCCCCATATTCCCATGTTCTCCCATGGGCTCATATCTCCCCATATCGCCCTATATCCTCCCATGTCTCCATATCCCCCAAATCCCCCCATCTCCCCATTGCCCCCAATACCACCCATCACCCCCATTGTCCCCATTGCCCCCATTACTCTCCACTCCCCCATTACCCCCCATTGCCCCCATTGCCCCCATTACTCTCCACTCCCCCATTGCCCCCATTACCCCCCATTGCCCCCATTACCCCCCATTACCCCCATTACTCCCCACTGCCCTGTTACCCCATTGCCCCCATTACTCCCCATTGCCCCATTACCCCTCATCGCCCCCATTGCCCCCATATCCCCCATTACCCCCATTCTCCCCCATTACTCTACATTGCCCCCATATCCCCTATTACCCCCATTGCCCCCATTGCCCCCATATCCCCATTACCCCCATTCTCCCCCATTACTCCTATTACCCCCATTACCTCCCATTGCACCATTACCCCCATTGCCCCCATTACTCCCCACTGCCCTGTTACCCCCATTGCCCCCATATCCGCCATTACTCCCCATTACCCCTCATCGTCCCCATTGCCCCCATTACTCCCCACTGCCCTGTTACCCCCATTGCCCCCATTATTCCCCATTGCCCCCATACCCCCCATTACTCCCATTACCCCTCATCCCCCCATTGCACCCATTATCCCCATTACCCCATTGCCCCCCATTACCCCCCATTACCCCCATTGCCCCATTACCCTCATTGACCCCATTCTCCCGTTACCCCCATAACCCCGTTGCCCCCTTGGCCCCATTACCCCCATTACTCCCTTACCCCCATCACCCCCATTCCCCCATTACTCCCATTGCCCCCATCACCCCCATTACTCCCATTGCCCCTATCACCCCCATTGCCCCCATGACCCCATCATCCCCATTGCCCCCCCATCACCCCCATTGTCCCCATCACCCCCATCACCCCCATTCCCCCCCCATTCCCCCATCACCCCCATTCCCCCATCACCCCCCATTCCCCCCCCCATTGTCCCCATCCCCAGAGCGAGGAGGCCGGCGAGGCCGAAGAGGACAGCGACGCCGAGAGCCCGGGGGGGCCCGGTGCCCCCCCCCGCCCCGACCCCTCCCCCCGCCTCAAGAAGCTCAAGCGGGGCCGCCCGGGCCGCAAGAAGAAGAAGGGTGAGTGCCCCTCCCCCATTGCCCCCCCCCATTGTGCCCCCCATTGACCCCCATTGTGCCCCCCCCCCGAGGTGACGCGGCCCCGTCCCCTCTGTCCTTGCAGCAGGGCTCAGCCGGGAGCGCGGCCCCGTGGGGACGGGCACAGCGCCCGTGCATGGTGAGACCCCCCCCCCCCCCCCGCCATTGGCACCCATTGGCACCCATTGGCACCCAGTGGGACCCTAAGGGGGTCCTGTGGTGCCTGCGGGGTGTTCCCAACCTTTGGGTTCTTCCTATGGGGTGTCCTCGTGTCCTGGTGGCCCCATTCCCATTGCCCCCAGTGTCCCAGTATCCCCAGCACCCCCATGTCCCATTCCCAGCACCCCCATGATCCCATCCTCAGCACCCCCATGTCCCATCCCCAGCACCCCCGTGTCCCCATTCCTAGCACCCCCGTGTCCCATTCCCAGCACCCCATGTCCCAGTATCCCCAGCACCCCCATGTCCCATTCCCAGCACCCCCATGTCCCATTCCCAGCACCCCCATGTCCCCATTCCCAGCACCCCCATGATCCCATCCTCAGCACCCCCATGTCCCATCCCCAGCACCCCCATGTCCCATCCCCAGCACCCCCATGTCCCATTCCCAGCACCCCCGTGTCCCCATTCCCAGCACCCCCGTGTCCCATTCCCAGCACCTCCGTGTCCCCCTTCCCAGCACCCCCTTGTCCCCCTTCCCAGCACCCCCATGTCCCCATCCTCAGCACCCCCATGTCCCCATCCCCGGCACCCCCATGTCCCCATCCCCGGCACCCCCATGTCCCCATTCCCAGCACCCCCGTGTCCCCATTCCCAGCACCCCCATGGTCCCATCCTCAGCACCCCCATGTCCCCATCCCCGGCACCCCCATGTCCCCATCCCCAGCACCCCCACGACCCCATCCTCAGCACCCCATTGCCCCCAATGCCCCCATACCCCATCCCCAGCACCCCTATATCCCCCTCCTCAGCCCCCCTATATCCCCATCCCCACCACCCCCATGCCCCCATCCTCAGCATCCCATTGCCCCCAATGCCCCCATGCTCCCATCCCCATTACCCCCATGTCCCATCCCCAGCACCCCTATCCCTGATGTCCCCATACTCCCATCCCCAGCACCCCCATCTCCCCCTCCCCACTGCTCCCAGTATCCCCAGCATCCCCATTCTCAGCATCCCCCATTCCCAGTACCCCCAACACCCCCATGACCCCATCCTCGGCACCCCATTGCCCCCAGTGTCCCCATACCCCCATCCCCATCACTCCCATGTCCCATCCCCAACACCTCTATCTCCCGTGCCCCACATGTCCTCATGCCCCCATCCCCATCACTCCCATGCCCCCCTCCCCACTCCTCCCAGTACCCCCAGCACCCCCATCCCTGGCACCCCTATATCCCCATCCCCAATACCCCCGGCACCCCCATGACCCCATCCTCAGCACCCCAGTGCCCCCAGTGTCCCCATACTCCCATCCCCATCACCCCCATGTCCCCCTCCCCACTACTCCCAGCATCCCCATCCTCAGCACCCCACATCTGCAGTACCCCCAGCACCCCCATGACCCCATCCTCAGCACCCCAGTGTCCCCAATGTCCCCATACCCCATCCCTCCCATGTCCCATCCCCAGCACCCCCATGTCCCCCTCCCCTCTACTTTCAGTATCCCCAGCACCCCTATATCCCCATCCCCAATACCCCCAGGCCCCCATGACCCCATCCTCAGCACCCCATTGCCCCCAATGCCCTCATCCCCCCATCCCCAGCACCCCCATCTCCCCCTCCCCACTCCTCCTATCATCCCCCTTCTCAGCACCCCTATATCCCTACCCCAGTACCCCCATCCCCACTACCCCATGACCCTATCCCCAGCACCCCTAAATCCCCATCCTCAATACCCCCAGCACCCCATGACCCCATCCTCAGCACCCCAATGCCCCCATACCGCCATCCCCATCACTCCCATGTCCCCCTCCCCACTTCTCCCAGTATCCCCAGCATCCCCATCCTCAGCACCCCAGTACCCCCAGCACCCCCCTATCCCCCTCCCCACTCCTCTCATCATCCCCCTCCTCAGCCCCCCATATCCCCAGCACCCCCATCCCCAGTACCCCCAGCACCCCACATCCCCAATACCCCCAGCACCCCATATCCCCATCCCCAGTACCCCCAGCACCCCCATGACCCCATCCCCAGCACCCCCATGACCCCATCCTCAGCACCCCAGTGCCCCCAATGTCCCCATACCCCGTCCTCATCACTCCCATGTCCCATCCCCAGCACCCCTATCCCGAGCACCCCTATATCCCCATCCCCAATACCCCCAGCACCCCCATGACCCCATCCTCAGCACCCCAGTGTCCCCATACTCCCATCCCCATCACTCCCATGTCCCCCTCCCCACTACTCCCAGTATCCCCAGCATCCCCATCCTCAGCACCCCACATCCCCAATACCCCCAGCACCCCCATGACCCCATCCTCAGCACCCCACATCCCCAATACCCCCAGTACCCCCTATCCCCATCCCCAGTACCCCCAGCACCCCCATGACCCCATCCCCAGCACCCCCATCTCCCCCTCCCCACTCCTCCAGGCATCCCCCTCCTCAGCCCCCCTATATCCCCATCCTCAGTACCCCCATCCCCACTACTCCCAGCACCCCCATGTCCTCCTCCCCACTACTCCCAGTATCCCCAGCATCCCCATCCTCAGCACCCCCCATCCCCAATACCCCCAGCACCCCCATGACCCCATCCTCAGCACCCCAATGCCCCCTATGTCCCCATACCCTCATCCCCATCACTCCCATTGCCCCCTCCCACTACTCCCAGTATCCCCAGCACCCCACATCCCCAATACCCCCAGCACCCGCATGACCCCATCCTCAGCACCCCAGTGTCCCCATACTCCCATCCCCATCACTCCCACGTCCCCCTCCCCACTACTCCCAGTATCCCCAGCACCCCACATCCCCAGTACCCCCAGCACCCCCATGACCCCATCCTCAGCACCCCAATGCCCCCAATGTCCCCATACCCCCATCACTCCCATGTCCCCCTCCCCACTACTCCCAGTATCCCCAGCACCCCCACATCCCCAATACCCCCAGCACCCGCATGACCCCATCCTCAGCACCCCATTGCCCCCTCCCCACTACTCCCAGTATCCCCAGCACCCCACATCCCCAATACCCCCAGCACCCCCATGACCCCATCCTCAGCACCCCAGTGTCCCCATACCCCCATCCCCATCACTCCCATTGCCCCCTCCCCACTACTCCCAGTATCCCCAGCACCCCACATCCCCAATACCCCCAGCACCCCCATGACCACATCCTCAGCACCCCAGTGTCCCCATACTCCCATCCCCATCACTCCCACGTCCCCCTCCCCACTACTCCCAGTATCCCCAGCACCCCCATCCCCAATACCCCCAGCACCCCCATGACCCCATCCTCAGCACCCCATTGCCCCCTCCCCACTACTCCCAGTATCCCCAGCATCCCCATCCTCAGCACCCCACATCCCCAATACCCCCAGCACCCCCCTGACCCCCTCCTCAGCACCTCATTGCCCCCATTACCCCCATTACCCCATCCCCACCACCCCCATCATCCCCCTCCTCAGCCCCCCTATATCCCCCCTATATCCCCCCCCATTGTAACGGTGCTGCCCCCCCCCCCCCAGGCCCGGGCCCGGAGGACGAGGGCGATGGCTACGAGACGGACCACCAGGACTACTGCGAGGTGTGCCAGCAGGGGGGGGAGATCATCCTCTGCGACACCTGCCCCCGTGCCTACCACCTCGTCTGCCTCGACCCCGAGCTCGACCGGGCCCCCGAGGGGAGATGGAGCTGCCCCCACTGCGTGAGCACCCCCCTGGGGGCTATGGGGGGGTCTTGGGGGTTGGGGGGGGGTTATAGGGGGGGGTTATGGGGTCTGGGGGGAGGGTTAAGGGGTCTATGGGGGGGGGTTTAGGGGGTCTGGGGAGGATTAGGGGGAGATTAGGGCGTCTATGGGGTGGTTTGGGGGGGTTAGGGGGTCTGGGGGGGGTTTGGGGGGTCTATAGGGGGGTTAGGGGGTCTGGGGGGAGGGTTAAGGGGTCTATGGGGGGGGGTTTAGGGGGTCTGGGGAGGATTAGGGGGAGATTAGGGCGTCTATGGGGTGGTTTGGGGGGGTTAGGGGGTCTGGGGGGGGTTTGGGGGGTCTATAGGGGGGATTAGGGGGTCTGGGGGGGGGTTAAGGGGTCTATGGGGGGGGGTTGGAGGGTTAGGGGGAGATTAGGGGGTCTATGGGGTGGTTTGGGGGGGTTAGGGGGTCTAGGGGGGGTTGGGGGGTCTATAGGGGGGTTTAAGGGGTCTATGAGGGGGGTTGGAGGGTTAGGGGGAGATTAGGGGGTCTATGGGGTGGTTTGGGGGGGGTTAGGGGGTGTATGGGGGGGTTGGGGGGTCTGGGGGGGGTAAGGGGTCTATGGGGGGGTCTGGGGGGAGGGTTTGGGGGGTTAGGGGGAGATTAGAGGGTCTATGGGGTGGTTTGGGGGGGGTTAGGGGGTCTAGGGGTGGATTAGGAGGTCTAGGGGGGAGTCTGGGGGGGTCTGGGGGGGGCTTAGGGGGTCTGGGGGGGGGTTAAGGGGTCTATGGGGGGGTCTTGGGGGGTCTATGGGGGGTCTATGGGGGGGGTTTGGCAGATCTTTTGGGGGTCTGGGGGGTTTAGGGGGGTGTTTAGGGGGTCTGGGGGGTTTTAGGGGGGAGCTAGGGGGTCTGGGGGGGTTTAAGGGATCTATGGAGGGGTTTAGGGGGTCTTTGGGGAGGTGTATGGGGGATATCGGGGGTTAGGGGGGTGTTTAGGGGGTCTAGGGCGGGTTAGGGGGTCAAAGGGGGGGGTTAGGGGGTCTGGGGGGAGTTAAGGGGTCTATGGGGGGGTCTGGAGAGAGGGTTTGGGGTGTTAGGGGGAGATTAGGGGGTCTATGGGGTGGTTTAGGGGGTCTAGGGGTGGATTAGGAGGTCTAAGGGGGAGTCTAGAGGGGGTTGGGGGGGGTCTGGGGGGGTTTAGGGGGTCTGGGGGAGGTTAAGTGGTCTATGGGGGGGTCTGGGGGGTTAGTGGGTCTGGGGTGGATTAGGGGGAGATTAGGGGGTCTATGGGGTGGTTTGGGGGGTGTAGGGGGTGTTGGGGTGGATTAGGAGGTCTAAGGGGGAGTCTAGGTGGGGGTTGGGGGGGTTTAGGGGGTCTGGGGAGGGTTAAGGTGTCTGTGGGGGGGGTTTGGAGGGTTAGGGGGAGATTATGGGGTCTATGGGGTGGTTTAGGGGGGTTTAGGGGGTCTAGGGGTGGATTAGGAGGTCTAGGGGGGAGTCTGGGGGGAGGTTGGGGGGTCTATAGGGGGGGTTTAGGGGGTCTGGGGGGGGTTAAGAGGTCTCGGGGGGGGTTAGGGGGTCTGGGGGGGATTAGGGGGAGATTAGGGCGTCTATGGGGTGGTCTGGGGGGGGGTTAGGGGATCTAGGGGTGGATTAGGTGGTCTAGGGGGGAGTCTAGGGGGGGTGTTGTGGTGTTGGGGGGTTAGGGGGTCAGGGGAGGTTAAGGGGTCTATGGGGGGGGTCTGGGGGGGTTTAGAGGGTCTGGGGGTTAGGGTTGGGGGAGATTAGGGGGTCTATGGGGTGGTTTGGGGGGGTTCAGGTGGTCTAGGGGTGGATTGGGAGGTCTAGGGGGGAGTCTGGGGGGGGGTTAGGGGGTCTGGGGGAGGTTAAGGGGTCTATGGTGGGGTCTGGGGGGGTTGGGGGGTTAGGGGGAGATTAGGGGGTCTATGGGGTGGTTCAGGGGTGGTTTAGGGGGTCTAGGGGTACATTAGGAGGTCTGGGGGGGTTGGGGTTCTATGGGGGGTTAGGGAGTCTGGGGGAGGTTAAGGGGTCTATGGGGGGGTTTAGGGGGTCTGGGGGGGTTAAGGGGAGATTAGGGTGTCTATGGGGTGGTTTAGAGGGGTTTAGGGGGTCTGGGGGGGGATTAGGAGGTCTAGGGGGGGGGGTTGGGGGGGGTAGGGTGTCCATAGGGTGCCCATGGGGTGCCCATAGGATGTGTGTGTTTCCATGGGGTGCCCCTAGGGTGTCCATAGGGTGTCCATAGGGTGCCCCTAGGGTGTCCATAGGGTGTCCATAGGGTGTCCATAGGATGTCCATAGAATGTCTGTATGTCCATGGGGTGTCCATGGGGTGTCCATAGGGTGTCCATAGGATGTCTGTATGTCCATGGGGTGTCCATGGGGTGTCCATGGGGTGTCCATAGGATGTCTGTATGTCCATAGGGTGTCCATGGGGTGCCCATGGAGTGCCCATAGGGAGCCCATAGGGTGTCTGTGTGTCCATAGGGTGTCCATGGGGTGTCCATAGGGTGCCCATAGGGTGTCCATAGGGTGTCCATAGGGTGTCCATAGGATGCCTGTGTGTCCATAGGGTGCCCCTAGGGTGTCCATGGGGTGCCCATGGGGTGTCCATAGGGTGTCCATAGGATGTCTGTATGTCCATGGGGTGTCCATAGGGTGTCCATAGGATGTCTGTATGTCCATGGGGTGCCCATGGGGTGTCCATAGGGTGTCCATAGGATGTCTGTATGTCCATGGGGTGTCCATAGGGTGTCCATAGGATGTCTGTATGTCCATGGGGTGTCCATAGGGTGTCCATAGGATGTCTGTATGTCCATGGGGTGTCCATAGGGTGTCCATAGGATGTCTGTATGTCCATGGGGTGTCCATAGGGTGTCCATAGGGTGTCTGTATGTCCATGGGGTGTCCATAGGGTGTCCATAGGATGTCTGTATGTCCATGGGGTGTCCATGGGGTGTCCATAGGATGTCTGTATGTCCATGGGGTGTCCATGGGGTGTCCATAGGATGTCTATGTCCATGGGGTGTCCATAGGGTGTCCATAGGATGTCTGTGTGCCCATGGGTGTCCATGGGGTGCCCCTGTGGTGTCTATGGGACGTCTGTGTGTCCATCTCACGCGGGCTGTCCCCCCATGGCCAGGAGAAGGAGGGTGTGCAGTGGGAGGCGAAGGAGGAGGAGGAGGAGGAGGAGGAGGAGAGGAGGAAGGCGAGAAGGAGGAGGAGGACGACCACATGGAGTACTGCCGCGTGTGCAAGGACGGCGGGGAGCTGCTCTGCTGCGACGCCTGCGTCTCCTCCTACCACATCCACTGCCTGAACCCCCCCCTGCCAGAGGTGCCCAACGGAGAGTGGCTCTGCCCCCGGTGCACGGTGAGCGGTGGGGTGTGGGGTGTGGGGTGTGGGGGAGAGGGATATGGGGTGTGGGGTGTAGGGATGTGGGGTATGAGGTAGAGGGATGTGGGGTGTGGGGGAGAGGGATGTGGGTTCGGGGGGGTATGGGGGGTGTAGGGATGTGGGGTATGGGGGTAGAGGGATATGGGATATGGGGTAGAGGGATATGGGATATGGGGGATAGGGATATGGGATATGGGGGAGAGGGATATGGGATGTGGGGTATGGGGGAGAGGGATATGGGATATAGGATATGGGGTAGAGGGATGTTGGGTATGGAATAGTGGGATATGGGGTATGGGGTAGAGTGATGGAGGGGTATGGAATAGAGGGATGGAGGGGTATGGGGTAGAGTGATAGAGGGGTATGGGGTGTAGGGATATGGGATGTGGGGTATGGGGGAGAGGGATATGGGATATGGGGTAGAGGGATGTGGGGTATGGAATAGAGGGATATGGGGTATGGGGAAGTGTGATGGAGGGGTATGGAATAGAGGGATGGAGGGGTATGGGGTAGAGTGATGGAGGGGTATGGGGTGTAGGGGGATATGGGGTATGGGGTAGAGTGATGGAGGGGTATGCGGTAGAGGGATATGGGGTAGAGAGGAGATGGGGGTATGGGGTAGAACGATGGAGGGGTATGGGGTAGAGAGGGGATGGGAGTATGGGGTAGACGGATATGGGGTATGAGGTAGAGGGATATGGGGGTATGAGGTCTAGAGGAGATGGGGTATGGGGTAGAGGGATATGGGGGTATGGGATGTAGGGATATGGGGTATGGGATGTAGGGGGACGGGTGTGGGGTAGAGAGGAGATGGGGGTACCGGATCAACAGAGATGGGGGTATGGGATAGAGGGATATGGGGGTATGGGGTAGAGTGATGGAGGGGTATGGGATGTAGGGGGACAGGGGTATGGGGTCGAGAGGAGAGGGGGATACAGGATAGAGAGGAGATGGGGTATGGGGCAGAGGGATATGGGGGTATGGGGTAGAGCGGAGATGGGGTATGGGGTAGAGTGATGGAGGGGTATGGGATGTAGGGGGACAGGGATGTGGGGTAGAGAGGAGATGGGGGTATGGGATAGGGGGATACAGGGTATGGGATAGAGAGGAGATGGGGTATGGGGTAGAGGGATATGGGGGTACAGGATAGAGAGGAGATGGGGGGGTATGGGTTATAGGAACATGGGGGTATGGGATAGTGGAACAGGGATGTGGGGTATGGGAATGTGGGGGTATGGGATAGAGGAACAGGGATATGGGGTATGGGATAGAGGAACAGGGGATATGGGGTATAGGGGATATGGGGATACAGGATAGGA